CCGTGTGGGTCTGTGCTCCGTGCGGGCAGATGGGACATCCCGAGACCTCCGGGTGCATGGGATGGACCTGGGAGAGTCGTGGGTCGCTAGCCAGCTGCCTGGTGGGCTTCCTGTTTGGAAAGAGAGGAAGGAGAAAACGATGGATAAAGCACGGTTTGGAAAGGGGCCAGCTGCAAGGGAGCTACTGCTCACCCTGCTCAGCAGCGGGCGCCTGGGGCGTCTCTGGTGGCTCGTAAGGGTTGTGTTGCTGCCTGTGTGCTGGTTCCTTGCTCTTGCAGCGCTGCTCGTCCTCGCAAGGCTTTGGGGGACGGCGGCGCTCGGAGCCCTCCCAGTCTCCGCAGCAGAGTTGTAACGGGCAGAGGGGCTCTCAAGCTGTTACGGGAGGACTTAAGGATACTTGTACACGCCCTGATTTTAAGGAAATGCGGTTAAATATTTTTGCTTCTTTCACGAGCTTACTAAATTAACGTGGGCCAGCTGTGTCGCTTCTTGGCACCTTTAGTTTCCTCCTGTGGATAAAACGCAGTTAATGTGTCCGGCCACCTTTGCAGGAGCCAGCGGATGGAGCAGCAGGGGCTGCGTCCCGATTCCCACCTCTGGAAAATGGTCTTGGGGCCGTAAGGAAGCATACAGGGCTGTGGTGTTCCCAAGGGATGGGTCTGGCACTGGGACCCCAAACCCCTCAGTGGGAATGACGTGTTCAGCACTTCATAGGATCAGGCGGTGCGATTTGGGTGCCGGACCCTGCGCAGAGCCGCTTGCCTTCTCTCTCCTCCTTTTCTTTCACATCTTCCAGCTTTTTTGCCTGTAGCCCCAACAGCAGCTTCTCGGAGGCAGCCTGTGGCATCCTTGGCACGATGCTGGTCCTCCCCAAGCCCACGGGAAGCGACCACAACGCGTCGTTCAACCCTTTGCTTGCAGCTACGCTGACTCGCAGGTCAGTCACATCCAGGCATTGCAGGACAGCTCTCCTGGACACTCCCATGTGTCACTGTGCCCAAGCAGGAGCAGGTCCCCAGCAGTGAAACCCAAGGACTTGTGTGTCTGCATGCGAGTCCCTCCTAACGGGGCTTAGTCTAGCGGTTAGTGTTGCCTTTAGAAGAAAGGCAGGGAAAAAACTGCTATATTTGAGGTTTTGAGAGCACAAAGTGTTTTCACAGCTGAGCCTCCGGAGCTGGGGACCGAGCTGTTCCCTTTCGTAACGAGGATGTGCAGGTTCCAAAGCAGCTCAGCTGCAGCTGTGCTAATGCTGCTGGATCAGCGCGCAGGGCTGCCAGGGAGGAGGCTCCCAGGACCTGATGGACGGAAAGGGGCTGGATTATCATCGTGCCCTCGGCTTTGCCTGGATAACGCACGGTGCTCCCGCGAGGCTGGGCTGGATGGAGCCCTGAGCTGCCAGGAGGAGCGCCGGCTGCTTAAGGGGGCTGCAAATACTCTGCAATGTGGGAATGTGCAGCAAAACTGGGATGTGCTCCAGGAGAGAGGGAGTCCCCCGCTACAGGGGCCGTGCTTTGGTTCTGGGCAGTGGTGATGGCAAATGTTACCAGCGTTTTCTTGCTGCTTCTTTGAGGAAAATGTCGTGTTTTGGGACCCTTTGAGGAAAGGGTCTTATTTTGGGGTCTTCCTTCTCAACCTGCTTTTTTCGCTATCACGCAGCCTCAGCTGGGGGGAGAGTAGGAACCACAGGGAATGGCAGGGCTGAACTGGACTGGGGAGGAACTGGCGCTGTGTTGGGAACCACGAGCCAAAGCTGACGGGCTAAATACAGCCTGTTTGTGCGGCTCACTGGCCTGCTCGGAGGCCAGGCCTGGCTTTCCCTGCCCCAGCAATATCCTCCTCATCACTTCCCCCGCATTCCCCCCACAAACCCCTTCCGATCTAGGGTAAGTTCTGCGTATCATTTCTGCACCATTTTTGGCATGGTGATGCTTCCTCCCACCCACTGTTGCTTCAAGCCTACCCCCGGCAGAGTTGTGGCGAGGGTACCGCAAAACAACACGCGTTTCCCGTGGTTTCGTCAGCCTCATGCCTGGGATTTCTGCAGATGTGAAAGGATGTGCGTGACAGCCCTGCGAATTCACACACGGTGTCAAGCAGACAGGTTAGCACATCCCACAGTCTTAGCTGAGACACTGTTAACGGTCTGTGTGTGCGTTTCTAGCCCATGCCGAATGTGAAATAAAAAACTATTTGGTTCTGCCATCAAATCAGTTGGCTTAAAGCCTCCCAGCAGTCAGAGCTGACACACTTTGCGTTTACCATACACCAGGAGTGCATCTGATCAGTGACTGTTTTCTGGCTGATGGATGGTAATTTATCTGCAGTGCATTTGCAGCTTCCAAAACTTGATTGCTTGCAAATGCATCAATTGCTTATTCATTTCCATCTGTAAATCTCAAGGGCTCTTCTCATTTTGTAAAAGCTCTAGCTGCTGAGTGGCTCCGACTTGAACCTCGCAAGGAAGGAAAGAGTAAAGTATTTCTCAGTCTGTCTTCTCAAAACACGGTTACTTGTGATCCTCTTTGAAGCCGCTGTGGCTTTGCCTTTGTCAGCCTCTGGTGCAGGGTGCCCTTTTCCACGTCCTCACGTTTTAAGGAAAGGTCTCAGTGTTAGCTCTCATGGGGGGTGTTTTGCTGCAGCTTTGCAGGTGGGAGAATGGGGCTTTTACCAGTTCAAATGTGACTGCATCTTCTGTAGGAGGATTCAGGAGCTCTGCGTCTGCCTCGGTGGCAAAGGTGGGACGCTGAAACCTTCACAAAAGAGAAGGTGCAAGAGGCTGTTCCAGGCTCTGAGGATGCAGCAGGCGATTGCAGAGAGACGATCAGTCCTACTTGGAAGGTCAGGAAGGAAATCAAAGCCAGGAAGATTTAGGATAGATGCAGGACAAACAGTGAGTCGCAGGACTGAAATATTGCCAGAAATTAATTAGGGAAATTGTAGTGCTGCTTGTGTTAGGCATTGACAAGAACGGATTAGACAAAGAGCTGCTTGTGACAGTCTGTGTGCATTTGTGTCTCAGTGCAAGGAGCTGGATGGAGTGATGTCTGGAGCTTCATTTCCAGAGCTCCGACACACACATCTTTCTCCAAAACCAGGGGCTGGGAGAATGCCCTGTTGCCCATCTACTTTCCTCACAGAGCTGAAGGTTCAGCTTTGTCTTCTGCTACATTTCCCCCTTCCCACAGGAAGATGAGCATGAAAATGCCAGGGTGGCTGCTACCTTCATGGTGTGACAAAGCACAAGTTCTGCTGCATCAATCACACGTGGGGGTCACAGTCTGGGGGCAGAGAAATGGAGGAGTCCCAGGCCCCCCGTTCCCTCCTGTGCCATCTCCTTGGAGGAGAAGATGAGGAGAAGCACAGGTTGGAGATATCTGGTGGATGAGACCCAGCTGGTCTTTGGGAATAGGTCTCTAAATTCCTTGCGTGCAGCTGGAGAAGGTGCAATACTGCAATTAACTTCTGCAGGACCAGAGTGAAGCAAAGGGAAGGATAGTAATAGGAAAAGAGGAAAGAAATACCTAAGAAAGAGCTGTGATGAAGAGGCTAAATTGGGAAAGAAGGGTGTCACAGAGTTGTCACACCATCTGATTCAAAGCCCTTTGAAACCGAGGGGAGAATTTCCACTGTATTCAGTGAGGCTTGAATTGGACTGTAGCGGGAACAATCTATTGCATCAGTTGGAAACATTGCAAAATTGGGTACAGCGGAGGGAAAACCCAGTCCTTAAAACAGGCGGAAGGGAGCCCTGTGTAACCCACAGAGCTCGTTGAGGGTCTGCGGGAGCCTCGGTCGGGCCCGGTGCTGCCCGCGGCGTCGCGGGGAGCTCGTAGCTGCGGCAGGTAGGAGAAGAGGGAGGCGGGGAGGCGTCCCTGGCGCCGGGGGACGCGCTGCTCCCCAGCCTCTCCAGCGCTGCTCGTCGTCAAGGAAAAGCAGACGGAGGTTTGGGCACGGCTCCAGCGCGGGACCTCGCTCCGTGATGCTGTTCTGGGCACAGGGGCTGCTTCTGCATCGCATCTAGTGAGAGCTGCATTCCCTCTGGGTGGTGAACGGTGCTGGGTGGTGAATGTCACTAGACTATCTTGATCTGCTCTGTAAATTCCCAGGAAGCTGGCCAGGTTTGGTGTGATTTGGGAGGACTTTGGGAGGCCTTTGCGTGCTGCTGTTCCTGCTGTCTGGTTTTGCTGTGTGATTGTTGCAGCCGCTGTGCAGGGCCTGCACTGCGACGGGTGTATGCAGTACACCCGGGCACCGACTGTGCGCAGCTTCTCCGGGCCGGCATTCCGGCTCCTGCTCTGCTCGGGGGGATCCAGCTTTCTCCTTTAGTGACTTCCATGCTGCTGCTTCTGCTTTTCCTTCCTAATTCCTTCTGGCAGCCAAATATGTCCCTGTCTGCCCATGTATGTCTGACTAACGTGAAGTGTGGTTACCACCCCGGGAAACACTCCCAGGAAACTAGGTTGGGAGGCTGCAAGGGAATGTGCAGTGTCCAAATGCTCTTGGTTTCTGAGGGGGCTCTATGGTGAGCAGCTTTTCCTTCACTGGAAGGTGTAGGATCTATCTGCCCCATCCAAGTAGCCCCTGCTAGTGCTGTGGATGTACCAGACTTGCAGCCTGTCTGCAGTGTGAGTAGGTGCTCTCAGGAGGCTCCCTGGAGGAGCCAGGACCAGGGGGGATAACAGGGTCTGCTGGCAGCCCAGGCAAGGGGAGATGGTGGAGGATGAATCCCTGGCTCCATCCAGGGATTCCCAGTCAGGAGCAGCTTAGGCCTGAGATCCACGCAGGAGACAGGGCTGGACACAGGTACGGCTGCAGCAGAGCTTAGGGCAAGGTAGCTCCTTAAACACAACTGCAGGACAGAAGATGTGGGGGAGATTCCCCCATCCTGGGAGAGATTCCCCTGTCCTGGAAGAGGCTGCTCTGGGCATTCAGGCCTATTAGGATGCTCGGGGCACTGTTGCTGCGGAGGGAACGTGAATATCGTGTGAATTGTCCCTCTTTATCCTGGGAGAGATTCCCCTGTCCTGGATGAGGCTGCTCTGGGCATTCAGGCCTGTTAGGATCCTCGAGGCACTGCCGCTGCGGAGGGAACATGAATATCGTGTGAATTGCCCCTCTTGGGAAGATGAGACCTTAGCAGCTGTTTTTGCTTAAGGCTTTGTGTTCCTGTCCTACTCTGGGTGAGGGTTTGATGCTGGTCAGTACCTGAGGCTTAAGGCCAATATCTTTCTAATCAAGCCTTGGAAAAACAGGACATGTTCTGGTGTGTCTCTCTTCACGGCAGAGATAAGCAGAGGGTGCTTGCTGAATGGATCCCTTGAGCACATTTCTGAACTGGTGGGCTGTGGTTTAGAGATGAGTCACAAGATATCAGAAGTTGGCTCTGAAAATGAGTAGGTTTATTTGGCGTTTGGGTTTCCATCTTCTCCTGTATGTACAGGTGAGCAAGTAGCACAGGGGAGCACATGGATCTGGCTAAATATTAGCTGTTCACCCACTGCCTCAATCAAGGAGGAAAGCTGCACTGCAAGATGTGTGGAATTTTGTAATGTGACTTTATTCTGCAAGCTGGGCTGGTCCTTTAGACTGAGCAATGACTGTATGTACAGGTGAGCAAGTAGCACAGGGGAGCACATGGATCTGGCTAAATATTAGCTGTTCACCCACTGCCTCAATCAAGGAGGAAGGCTGCACTGCGAGATGTGTGGAATTTTGTAACATGACTTTATTCTGCAAGCTGGGCTAGTCCTTTAGACTGAGCAATGGTTGGGGCACGTTGCCTTAAGAAAGGGAAGAGCCAGAAGTTGAGGCAGATGTTCTTTCCCATAGCAGCAAAAGTTTCTTGTTATCATCAAAACCTATGAATCCTACACATGCCTGAGGAGAGGGTGTAGCAAAGATGAAAGGGACATTTTTCAGTGTTTATTTTCAGAGGAGATTTGCTCGTTACATGTGAAACGGCATTGCCTTGAAAATGGCAATTTGTGCTTGCAGCTTCCAACGAAGCGTTTCAAGTTTCAGTGCCAAAAAGCATCAGGTGTTGGATGTGTTTTGTTTCAGCTAGCTCCAAACTCACAGGACTCTGGTCTGGGGAGGCCTTAAGAGCCACTTACTAGCAAGTGAAGGCAGCTGATAGCAGGTGTCCCCTCCACAGCAAGACTGTTCTCTTGCTGTCATACGGTGGTGATGCAGCACCCCAGATGCAGGAAAAAATTCCTCACGTGCTACATTTGGATGTAAAAGACTGCGGGAGCCCTCAGTAGAACTTACCACCATTTAATAAAATAACACGCAAGGGTTCTTTTGGATTATTATTGTATTTTTTTCGGAGAAGTCTGCCTGTTAAAGTAGAAGCAGAGGAAAGATCTGGACAAGCTAATTAGCAAGTGAGGAAAATAAGTGTCTGGGAATGTTTCTGGTGAAAAAGCAAGCAGTGGAGTTCTGAAATTTATTGGAACTTTATTTGGCTGGGCCTTTAGGGACATCTCCTGCTCTTGCTCTGCTCTGTTTCTAGCACCTCTTCTGAGAAGTGTTATTTTCTTCCTATTCAAAATCCTGTGGATGCTCCTTGATTTACTCACTCTTCGGATCATTCCACAACACCCAGCCTGAGCCCTTTCTGCTCCTCAGTCCCCATGGCATGACCATTTTCTCCAGGATTTTGGTGCTGCTGGGGACTCAATGGCCTCTGCGATGGCCCTGGAGGAAAGGGGTGTTCCAGGGGTCTCAAGTGGGAGCTGTGGTTTTGCAGGGTCTGGCTCACACCATGCGTTGCTCTGATGTCTTGGCTGGTATCTGGCCTTCTGAGGTTGCTTAAAATGCCTTTATATCTTGCCTATCTCTAACTGCTTTTGGCTACCTAAAAGCTAGAAGTCTAACTTAGCATTTGCATGTGCTGCTTCCCCAGTCAGTGAAGAGAAATGGGCCTCTTTGCGCAGTAAAACACCGTGAGCCCACGGGTGCTTCTGCTCGTCATTGGAAAAGGTTCCTCAGAGGAAGAGCGAGGTGACCACGGCCTTGCTGCTGACCTGGGGTTCTGCAGGATTCTGCCTTGTTTTGCTAAGGAAAGAAAACCAAAAAAACAAAACTAGAGATCAGCCTTTGGTCTGAGGCCTGAGATGCTTCTCAGCAGTTTTGATTCCAATTGGAAAGGGGGAAAATGAACCTCCTGACTCTTGTGGGTCATCTCTGTAAAAGCTGCAAATGTCTCTGGTGGGCAAAGGGGGGGATCCCGCTGCTCTGGATGAGGAGCTGGGGCTCGTTTGTGCAGTCTGGATCTGGGGTTCCCTTTGGGTGAGGAATTCTTAACGTTGTCAACCCCATGTGTTCTCAAAGCACGGCTCATAATCCCAGAAACCACAAAGCTGGCCTTAAAACCCTGGTTTATGCAACAGGGAAAGTTTTAAGGAAGTTTCCTGTGTGGTGTTTTTTTTGCTTACTTTTTGCTATATTAACGCTTCGAAATGCATGGGTAAACCTGTCTCTTACTCAGTCTTTGGTTAGGACTGGGAATTCCAGCATAGAGGCCTATGCAGACTGCTGAGCCATGGTGTTGATGCTAGAAGATCAGCTGGAGCAACATCTGTTGGGAATAATGCAGTTTCTGGTGTGCCTGGGGCAGGGTGGTGAACTGGGTGTCATACAAAGTACTTTCTAATATTATTTTTTTAAGATGAGGGCTGAAAACTAGGGCTTATTTTGTTTTTAAATGTTTTTCATGCATGTGCTTCCTAGAGCTGGGACATTTTGAAACTCACCAAACCTAATGTTTTTGCTGTTAGATATAACCATACTAATTAGCTCCACTCTGTCTCCAATTCCTTATGTTATTTGACTGC